TGGTGGGGATCAGACCCTGCCCATCAGGAAGTGGGGGAGGGAGGCTGAGTCAGCCCCATGGGAACCTGGAACAGAATGAGCAAACGCCCTTGAGGGATTGCAGACAATCCTGATGCCCGACCAGAGGGAGGGCCAGGAGGCCAGGCCTGACAGCAGGCAGCCCTGGGCCCGCAAAGTCTTGAATGCCAGGTCCTGATCCCGTGGCTTGTCCCTCCCCGCTGCTAGACACCCAGGTCCTTCTGCAGGGCAGCCTGCCCAGATGCAAACCCCAAGCAGACCCAAACCTTCAGCCCCCTGATCAACTTTGACTCTTGGCGACCCTGCAGGACTGAGCAGCAGTGCCCAGAGGGAGCCCCAGGCTGTAGTCTGTATGAACACAGATCACTCTCTGTAACCAGGGGCCGCTGGTGGGTTTGAACGGTTCACCTTTCGTGTATTCCACCATGGCTTCTTCAAGCAGACCTGTCAAATGCAGGAATCCAGGGTAGGCCTGCCTGAAGGTGCTGCAGGCAGTGCTGGCAGGCAGGCAGGGCGGGCTGCCAGAGTAGGTGCAGGGGATGGTGCTGGGAGCCACCAGGGAGAGGTCTGGGCTGGAGAGAGGGACTTCGCAGGGCCCAGCCCCGCCTCCAGCCCATTTCAGATAGAGCTTTCTCTGCAAAGCCCATGGTGAGAGCCACCTCCCAGCCCCCCACAGGGAGGGGCAGAGAAGGGCTCAGCCAGGGTGGGGCCACTCCGAGGGAGAAGTGCTCCATCCCCAGGCTCCTCAGCCAGTAAATACGGGTTCATTAATAGCTTGATTAATCGCACCTCATATTTTCATGGTGCTTTTAAAAATAAAACATCTGAAAGCACTTTCACACCCAGCCTGGGCCTCCGTGCTGCACAGGTAGGGCTTAGCAGCCAAGCTGCAGGTGAGGAGAGGGGGCCTGCCCCTGAAACAGCAGTGTGCCGGGCACTGCAGGCAGCCCAGAGTGCACCCACCCCCACCCAGGCCTTGGCCCTGTCCCCGGGTCTCCCTTGCAGGGCAAAGGGGCTGCGTTGGCAGATCTGCTGAGATGCAAGGAGGTAGAGAGTTTGACATTCAGGCTCTCCGTAAATATCCACCAGTGTCAGGGACAGCCCAGTAACCACCCACCCCACTGGCACCAGGGCTGGCACAGGTACCTCACTGGCCCCTGGGCCATGCCAATCATAAGAAAGAAGGGAGCTGGGTCTAACAGGCAGTAATATGCATGTGCCTGCAGGTTGGCAGGTGACTGTGCAGATCAAGGATGGCCTCCTGGAGGAGGTGATGCCTTTGCTGATGAGCATCCCAGATAGACAAGTGGATCTGGGCCCGGCCGGGCCACCTCCACTGGGCACCCACAGCAGTCTCCTCACCCTTCTTCCCGCTGCCCCCTCCTCAGTCCATGCTCACGACTCCCACTGCCCTTCCAGTAACCCCCTTCCTCACCACCCCATGGACGCAGGAGACATGCCCTGCTTCCTCTCTGATGCCTGTCCTTCGAGTCTCCCCTCCCCTACATTTGTGCCGGGGGGAGTGGAGGGGCCCTCTGGCGTGGGTGGCATAGGGGACCTGGGAGGCCCTGCCTAGCCCACCTCGTACCTGCCTTCCTGAAGCCCCAGCGGCACCTGCCTGCAGCCACTGCACACCGCCCATGGGGTGCTTTCTTGCTGCTCCTGTAACAGGTAGCAGCAGTAACAGGTGCCCCCTCCAGCCCCAGTCACTAATGCTGCGCTAGGTGAACTTTCTGGGCGGCTGGGGGACAGGTACCAAGAGGGTGGGGCAGTGTACTATCTAGGGAGGCTGCGGTGGAGCACTCTGTCCAGGGGGGGACATGGGAGCTGGGTCTGAGAAGGCGGGAGGGCAGTCCTGGTGGAGGGAGGAGGGGGTTTCAGACAGGAACAAAGATGCGGGTGGGGGGGCGGGGGAGGGGGGGCAAGGGGCAGCTGGTGGGAGGGAGCTGAGGGCTGACAGCTGCACTCTCAGCTTTTGACCCCACAGAAGAAGCCACCAGGTAGGCAGACAATGAAAGTGGCCCAGGGCAAGGCAACAGGGAGCGTGAGGGACTGTGAGAAACGGGAGTGCCGGTGGGAAGGACCATCGCCTGGCACTGCGCATGCGCAGCCTGTGTGTCACCTTCAATAAGCAAGCCCCACAAAGCAGGGGACCGCCCAGGGTGGCTGCTAGAGGAGTGACGTGGGACCCTGCCATGCCAGAGGCCTAACTGGAACCCTGGGGTGAGGACAGGCCCCTGGGGACCTGCAGCCGAGGCCTTATAGTGTCCTTGCTAGAGGGCAGAGCTGCAGCCCAGAGGCACTTCTGAGCCTCCTGCAAGTGCCCCCCAGGGCAGAGAGGGGAGTCCTCGGCATCACTGCGTGGCGACAAGGAGGCCCTGAGAAGTGAGCTATGTCCCTCATTGGTCACAGTACATTTCTTTTTCATTAGCAGTTAAATGCAGACATGAAGGACGGCCCTGGGTTCAGTGCAGCAGACGTGAACAGCTCTTGGTGTGATCAATAGGGAGGTCAGGGGGGCGCTCACACATGCCCTGCCACGCAGCCCAGTGGGGGATCCCTGCCCCCACTTATGGGCACAGAGCCTCCTGTAGTGCTCTGCTTGGTGTGGTGGGGTGTAAGGCAGGGCAGGTCCCCTGCCCCCATGTAAGGTCCCTTCTGGGGTCTGTAGAGGTGCTGGGGTGTCCCCGTCCATCACTCTCCGGGCCCCAGGAGGCCTGCTGGGCCTCCAGACATGGACGTGGCCTTGGTGTCCCCTTGGCTGCACCTGCAGTGGGGTCAGGGCCGTGTAGTAGGGAAACAGGGAAGAACAGGCGCAGCTAACAGAAGGGTCAGGCGGCAGCCCCCACCGGACACAGTCAGGTTCCCCTGGGGCTTTGGGGGCGTGGTTCCGGCAGCCTGGCCTCCTGTTGCAGCACTGCAGGGTGCTCAAACGGTTGGCTCCCAGAGAAATGCCCTGAGGAGAGACGCACTGGGTAGAGGCCAGAGCCTAGTGGGGCAAGCAGGGGCAGGGAGGCCAGACAGGGTGGCCAACCTGATACTGACACACCACTCTGTCAGAAATGCCCCCACAGCCCCCGTGGCAACTGACCCCTGCGTGGCTAGGTCTCCCTTTCTCCCTCCCTCCCTTGGGCTCTGAGAGCCAATCCAGAAGGCAGCCCAGTAGCCCATGTGAGGCTAGGGCAGCCAGAGCTTGGGCACTGATCCCAGGAAGGTGGTACCCTCAGCTGTGCCCACACCGTCCTGGGGGCGAGGGCTGCTCCAGATGTGGGGTCCACAGGCCCTTGTTCCATCAAGTGACCTTGAGGTTTTTATGCAAATCGCATGTCCCTGTCAGTGGAACAGATTGAAGACCCTACCCCTGCAGGTAGGGGGAGGAGAGCCCGGGGCTGAATGCCCCACATCATGCCTGCTGAGGCTGGCAGTCCTCCGTCACAGGGTTCACCCTCTCGCACACCCCACGATCACAGAGCCCTGTGCTGGAGCGGGGTGGGCTCCTACATTGGAAAGAGAGGTCCTGCCCACAGCCTTGTGCAAACAGGAGGGCAGGGTTCAACTGGCCCTAGATGTGGGTGTGCCCTGGGTGGGGAGAGACCTTCCAGAGCAGACCACTCGCCCAGGATCACTAGCAGGGGGGAGGAGCTAGTCTCCCAGTTCCTCCCCTGGATGCCCAGAGGTCCCCTTCATTTCTGGGTTGGGCTGGTGGGGGGGAGTCACCTCAACCCTGAGGGGGAGGAAATGCTGCCTGGCCAGCACCTGGTTGGTGGGTGTGGGGTGTGTTAGTCTGGGTACTTTGGAGAAACAAAATACAGCAACTCATGTATAAGAGAGTTTTATGTAAAGAAAGTGTGCATCATGAAAACATCCCAACCCAATGCCGCCCAAGCCCACAAGTCCAACATTAACCCATTAACCCAACACCAGTCCACAAAGTCCTCCACCTCACAAAACAGAGGCAATGATGCCGACTGCAGGAGGAAAGCTGAGTCAGTGAACGAGTAAGCATCTCAGCACTAGCAGGGGTCTCCACACGGCTGCTTCAGCACCCAGGGCTGCATCGGGATAGGTCCACGTGGCTTCTCCTTGGGGATGTCTTGTAGGAAGTCAATCTTGCAAGCTGAAACAGGGAACTGCTAAGGCAGCTGGTGCAACCATCACAAAGCAAGAGACCCGAGAACTAGAAAAGCGAGGCTCACCACCCATTTGTCCCTCCGCCTTTCAATTAGCCCCACATGTGATTATTGGCCAGGTTGGCACAATTAACTAACTCAGGGGACAGAGCAAAGCTAGGGTTACTCACTCCACCCCACCACCACCCTCCCAAGGGCCCTGTTGAGAGCAGATGGGCCATACTGCTAGGGGGGTTTACCTCCACCAGTGCCTAAAAGCCAATTACCTGTGTAATTAGCAACAAATGACTTGTGGGCTGGTTGTGGTTTTCAGTCAAACCTCAGGCTCTCAAACTGATCTTCTCTGCTCTCACCCACATGTGCATGCATGCCCCCACCCCCGCCTCTTCCACCACCCCTCTCCTGTCACGGTGCTCCCCAGCACTCCTCCAAGGGCCCCTCACATTCACTTGGTGTTTAGCAACTGTACCAGACAGACCCTGCCCCACCCAGCTGCTCCCCAGGCTGTGGGCCCTCTCCACTGCCCTCCAGCCTGCCTGGGCTGAGTGCCCCTCCGCAGACACTACACCCAAAAAACCAAACTGGCTGGCCCTTTGCTTCCAGTGAGTGACACCCTGTGCATATAGAAGACCTGTGCTGCACAGGGTTCCCACTGGCCTTTAGGGAATGTTGCCAGGCCTTTCCTCTGAGGCACCCCTGGGTGGATCTGAACTTGAGCCATCAAGTGTTGGTTAGTAGTCAATTGCGTAGCCCTTTGGGCCACCAGGGGCCGTGGGCCTCTACTAGGACAGTCACATGGTAGAATGCCAACATGCACCGGCCACTGATGGAGGGCTTGCTGGGACAGCTGGTATGGCCTCAGTTAAGCCGCCCGCCAGCACCTTCAAAAGTGAGTGTGTCCTGAGGCGGGCATTCAGGAGCCGGGCCTGCTGTCTTCCTATCGGCTTTGCCCAGTTCTGCCAACCGTCCCCCTCCATTGTCCCTGGCCCCAGAAGCCCATTCACCTTCCTCTTTTGCCCCACACAGGTGCCCAGCAGAGTGCCACAGTGGCCAACCCGGTGCCCAACCCAGTGCCCGGCGGCAACCCAGACCTGCTGCCCCACTTCCTGGTGGAGCCCGAGGACGTGTACATTGTCAAGAACAAGCCGGTGCTGCTCCAGTGCAAGGCCACACCCGCCACACAGATCTTCTTCAAGTGCAACGGGGAGTGGGTGCGCCAGGTGGACCACGTGATCGAGCGCAGCACCGACGGGAGCAGTGGTGAGAGGGGCGGCCGAGCTGGGGGGTGGGGGTGGGTGGCAGCTGTGCACCCACCATCCCCTTTAGGGAGATGACGTAGGACAGACGGAAACAGATGGATTATTTAGGAAGAGGAGAGGGGAACAGTGTCCGGGCAAAGGGTGTATCCACAAGCAAGGCCAAGGGCATGAGCCAGGGCACAGATGCCACCTGGCTCCACCCACTGGACTCCAGAGTGATGTCACTGTCCCATGACATGGCCAGAGTGATGGGTGACCCTCGACACCAATGTAGGGGCTGATGGGAGGAGCCCCACCTAGAGACATTGAGGAAAGGAGATCTACTGACAGTGGAGGAAGGGTGCACAGGACGGGGCCAGCCCCTTCCCTGGCCACCCCTCACCCCCCATCGCTGGTCCCGGGCAGTAGGTGGGCATGCAGGCATACAGAGAACCCTCGCTCACAGAAACAGGCCCAGCAGCGGCCAGGCAGGAGCTCACCGCAGCCTCTGCTCCTCACTCATGGATGTGGGGCCTGGGTTGTCTCAGACTCACAGCAACCCGAGGGCAGAGCAGAGTACCCACAGGAGTGCCCAGGCGGCCTTTACAGGAGCACATCTGGAGCCCCTGTTGGCTCAAACCACCCACCTTCTGGCTGGTGCTAAGGCTAGGCTGGGGCTGAGGCTGGGCTGGGCCTGAGGCTAGGCAGAGCAGGGCTGGGCCGGGGCTGAGGCTAGGCAGATCAGGACTGGGCTTGGGCAAGGCTGAGGCTGAGGGTGGGCTGGGGCTGAGGCTGGGCTGAGGCTGAGGCTGGGCCGGGCTGGGGCTGAGCCTGGGCTAAGCTGAGGCTGGCCTGGGAAGGGCTGAGGCTGGGCTGGGAAGGGCTGAGGTTGGGGCTGGGGCTGGGCTCACTGCTTGGGAGAGGTGAGCAGCAAGGACCAGGAAGCTCCTTCCCCTGGGAAAGGCATGAGGGAGAGTGGGTTGACCATGCTGGGCGGGCAGAGGGAAGCCTGGAAGAGGAGCTGGAAGCTCTTACAGCAGTCCAGAGGGGAGCTGAAGAGCCCTGGGTGTAGGCGCATTCAAATGAGTCCACTACACCCACTTCTTAGTTCACAGGTGGGATGGGGTCCCAGGCTCCATCCAGGTTTCCTGGTCTACCAGAAGCCATGCACATACCCCTCTCTGCCCAAATGTCAGCTCAGCTCACAGCCAGGAGCCAAGAGGACAGGCTTTCTCTGCCCCCCTGACCAGCCCTGTACATACCCACTGGCTGCAGCTCCCGTCACTCAGGCCTCCAATGTCAACGAGCACCTAGGGCCTTGGCAGCCCCTGGGTTCCACTGGTTGCCATGGAGTCACTGCTGACCCAGGGAGACTGTGTGTGTGTGAGCCGGGCTTCCAGAAGCAAAGCGGGGCAGGGGCAGGTGGGGGTGCAACTCAGCCTTCCAGCCTGGTTGGCAGTGTGTGTGCTCGCTGGGCGCTGGGTGAGACACGAGGAATAAATATAACCCCAAAGCTCTCCAGGCACATAGGCCAACTCTGCCCATGACCTTCAGGAGGGGGTCAGAGGGAGTCTGTGACTTGTGCAGCAGCGTCACCATCATCTCGCTCCACAGAGATGCTCATGGCCTCCTGCCCATACATGCAGCTCTAGGGCCCAAGGTCAATTAGCACCCATATTGTCCCTGTGGGAGGTGCTGCTACAGATGGTACCCTCCCCTCCTGGGACCTCAGCTCCCTCATGGGCACACTGGGGAAAGGAGAGCCCTTTTGCAGGTTGGTGGAGGGGAAGCTTTACAAGGTCACTCACTTGGAGCCCAGCCCTTGAAGTCTGTCTCTCCCCCCACTCTGGGGCCCAGTGCCACTCTGTAGCATGGGATAGCAGATGCTCAGGGGAGACCTACAGCCAGGGACTGGCCTTCCTGCAGCCTGGAAGGCCTGCTCTGGAACCTTCTGGAAGGCCCCAGGCCAGCGCAGCTCTGCTCCCTGCCTCCAGAATGTACCATTTGCCTTTCCACAAACACCCCTCCCTTTCTGAAAAATTCCTGCCACCACCAGGTCTCGAGTTTGTGGCTTGGCTAAGACCCTTGTCCCTGACCTGAATGAGTGTTCACAGGCCTGGTGGGCTTACTAGGGCCCCAAGAGCCCTATCACCCACCCACATCCACCCCATCTTCCACGCCCCCCCTCCCCACACACAGGCCCACATAGCTTTGCTCTGTGCAAATCCATCTCAACTGGTAGCCACCTTCTGTCTCCTGCCCTGAGCAGCCAACCGCACGTCTGCCGCAAAGGACTCGGCTGAATTTTCATCGATCCGATTGATTTCTCAACCCAAAGCCATTGGGGGCTTTGAGGGGAAGAGGAAGGCTTCCCTTACACACCCACAACAGATCCTGTGGTGGTAGTGCCCACCACACAGAGGCCCAGATCAGAGACCTTGAACCTGACCCCTCTGAGCAGACAGGAGTGGCAGGGATCAGAGAGGTCAATCCACCCCGCCCACCCTCATCCCCCCAGAGGGCCGGGCGCCCCAGAACCTGCAGATGCTGACAGCAAGCTTGCTGCGCTGGCAGGGTCCGCACTTCTGTAAACCTAGCTTCAGGAGTCAGGTCTGGGAAGATAATTTGATGTTAAATTGTTCATTTGCTGGTGATTAGAAGCAGAAAGAAGGTGGGCGCCTGGAGCTCAGCTTGGCCTTGGAGCTCTCAGCCAGCCCTCAACCACCCACTGGCCCCCGTTGGCCCGGAACCCAAGTTTGCCCTCACATCAGGGCCCCCCACTGCACTCTTGCACACCCCTGTCCCTCTGAGACGCTTCCTCTTCCTCCTCACCCCTACCCAAGGCTGGCCAGGCCCGAGACTCTGCTTTCACGAGAGATGCCGCTCAGGGAAGGACAGCCTATGTCCCTACTCGGGGGAGGGGGACACAGGCTTTCCCAAGTGCAGCAGGGGCCCTGCCTGGTGCTGGGACGGGACAGACTTGGCTCTCCTTTCTGGCTGTGGAAGGAGAAGGGGAGGCGGCAGGATAGAAGGGTGGGGTGGGTGCTGTTCTCAAACTGAGCTGCCTGGGTGGGTGCGAGAGAACGGGGGTGGTGGTGGGGGTTTCGTCCTCCTGTCCCCTCAGGGGAGGAGAAGTAACTCATTAGACAGTTCTGATGATCTCTCGAACTTGACAACAGAGATTAAGAGCAGCAAGAGAGAGCAGTGGGCCCATGTCTCCGTCACCGGTTTGACCATGGGATGCCTGACCCAGGGACCCTGTCCTATACTGGGGTCCTCGTGTGGTGCTCTTGGTCCTCACCCCGACCCCAGCCCAGGAATGTGTATACCCAATGCAGGGGAGGAGCAGTGGGGAGCCAGGCAGGGCCCAGCGAGTGACCTCAACCCAGTGACACCTCATCTCCTGTGAGGACTGGACGGAGGTGGGGACAGGACTGCATGATGGACGAACTGGGCCCAATGGGAGAGCAAAGACTCGAGAGGAAGGGTCCAGGAAGGGGCCAAGGAAAGACGTGGTGGAGAAATTAGGGAGAGAGTCTAGTCCCCCAGCACGGCTCAGCTGGGCCTGCTCAGCCCGTGCTGCAACCCTAATTGAATTTCTCTGTTAACAATGGAAACACATTGGCAGCCCGGCCTCTCTTCCCTCTTTCTGATAAGCCAGTGGCCCGAGGGAAATTGGGGTCAGGAGGAGGAGGAATTGGAAACAAACAGTCTTTTCTCACTCCTGGGGACACTGGCTTTGGCTGCCTGCCAGGGGGCTGGAGGACTGGCCGTTGCCTTCCTGGTTCCTGGGGGCCTGCATCCGCCCAGCACGCCACTACCTCTGGGTCAGGTATAGCAGCCTCTAGGAGGCAAGGTCTGAGGCTCCTCCCAGGCCATCAATAGCTTCTCCCACCCCTCACCCTCTTCTCCTTCACTGGGCACCCCACCCTGGGTAACTGCAGGTGCCCTGAGCACCCTGAAGTCAGATAGCCCTGGATGCACACAGAAAGCGTGCCACTCGGCTCTGGGCCTCACTTTCCTCATCCACAGAGTGGGAGCAACACCCACCCAAGCCGTGGGTTAAATAAGATAACCAGCCTCCCTGATTCCCCGGGGTCTGTCATTATATTCCATTATCACTGTAATTAGAGTGCTGATGGCTGTGATTATATTATTACATGTCAGTAGCTACCTGCTAACCCCTGGGGGGTGAGAGCTGCCAGATCCTTTCTCACCCTTTCTTCACCCACAGAGCCCCAGAGCTCAGCCCAGCTGCTCCCCACACCCCCAAAGGCTCCCCAATGTCCTTGGAGTCTGGACCCTGTGGCCCAAAGCTCTTCTTGTGCAATGTGTCTGAAACAACCATGCAAAGCCCTATTATATTCTATGGGACTGTAGGAAGCCAACTTCTGGTTTAATAAATAGTGGAAGGTCCCAGAAGCTCCTGAGCACCCCTGTCCCCCCACAATTTCCTCTGGAGTCCGGGGAGTGGCTGCAGTGCATGGTCCCACACCCGGGCAGCGGGCCTGGGAGAGGCTGTGTGGTCACCCTGTGCTCTCCACAGGGCTGCCAGCTATGGAGGTACGCATCAACGTGTCGCGGCAGCAGGTGGAGAAGGTGTTTGGGCTGGAGGAGTATTGGTGCCAGTGCGTGGCCTGGAGCTCCTCGGGCACCACCAAGAGCCAGAAGGCCTACATCCGTATCGCCTGTGAGTCTCCCGGGGCTGGAAGAGAGGGTCCCTGCTGCCCTGCTGGGCCTCGGCACTTGCGCCTGGTTGACCGGGCTGGGCAGGCGCTGAAGCACTGGGACAGGGCCCCTCTGGTTACCCTCCGCAGACCTGCGCAAGAACTTTGAGCAGGAGCCGCTGGCCAAGGAGATATCCCTGGAGCAGGGCATCGTGCTGCCATGCCGCCCACCCGAGGGCATCCCCCCAGCCCAGGTGAGATCAGCCAGGGCCCACTCCACAGGGGGCGATCTCACCTGTCTGTCCCCTGCCATCCGCACTTGCGGGCGCGCAGCAACCTGGCTCCCTCACCCAGGTGGAGTGGCTCCGGAACGAGGATCTGGTGGACCCGGCACTGGACCCCAACGTGTACATCACCCGGGAGCACAGCCTGGTGGTGCGGCAGGCCCGCCTGGCCGACACGGGCAACTACACCTGTGTGGCCAAGAACATCGTGGCACGCCGCCGCAGCGCCTCTGCTGCCGTCATCGTCTACGGTGAGTGGGCCTGTGCACAGGGCGCCCCGACGGGGCGGAAAGAGGGCCATGTGCGGGCTTGACTGGCGCGCCGGTGCCGGGGCTGGCTGGGCTGTGGGGCCCAGGAGCATGCTGGTCAGTGGATGAGCAGGAAATCTCTTGAATCTCTACACCGTTGGTCCTGTGGGTAGGGGCCTTGTACAGAGGGAGCATGAGGGGACAGGACCGTAGTCTAGAAAAGATGGCAGACCACATCCTGTCCCCAAAGGTGGGAGGTAGAGTTGAGGGGTTCAGGGTACCCCACCAAGTGCAGGCAGAGGAAGGGTCATCCCTGAAAGGCTGAGCTGGCAGAGCAGTCCATTCGCCCTGAGTGCCCACAGTCCTGAAAGGAGGGAGGATGACCGAGTGGATTCTGCCACCCCCTGGGAGCCAGCACTCCCCAGAGTGACCTCCTCTCCCAGACCAGCCTCAGCCTGCTAGGCCCCGCTCCCACACTCCAGGCCTTGCCCCAGACACACTCCAGGCCCCACGCCCCAGGCCAGCAGGAAGCCCCTACTCCCTGACCCCAGTCCCTCTCTGTCCGGCCAGTGAACGGTGGGTGGTCGACGTGGACCGAGTGGTCCCTCTGCAGCGCCAGCTGTGGGCGCGGCTGGCAGAAACGGAGCCGGAGCTGCACCAACCCGGCACCTCTCAACGGGGGCGCCTTCTGTGAGGGGCAGAATGTCCAGAAAACAGCCTGCGCCACTCTGTGCCCAGGTACCAGCGGCTGCCGCCCCGCATCGCTCTCACCACGCCATCTCCGTGCCCGGCTCCATCTCGCCACCAGCTGCCCACCCATGGCTCCATCCCACCCGCCCGCACTCAGAGCCAGACCATCCAGGGCCGAGACCCGGCCCATCCTGTGGCAGAGTCCGGGCTCGGTCCGCAGTGCTGGAGTGCCACGCAGAGATGAGGTGGGGCTGCAGGTGGAGGGTAGAGTCAGGAGATGGCATGGGGTAAGGCAGGGCTCAGCCTGGGGCAGCTGCAAGGTCCCACCTGGGCTCACAAGAGTCATCTGGGACCCAAGAGCTTAGCCACCCAGGGCCAGGCAGCCTCCCTGGCGTGTGCAGAGCAAGCAGTCCTGGCGTCATCCGTGCCTCCCTCCTCATTAGCATGCATCATCAGGCCCACAGGACACACGAGCCCAGTGCACACAGGGGGGCCTAGGTCTGGCTTTGCACCCCAGGGCCCAGCCAGCCAGTCCTGCCTGCTCCAGACACCCAGCAGGGTCACAGCACAGACCGCCCAGGTTGGTCCTTGTAGCTGATGGGCCTCTCCCTCTGTTCCCATCTGTCTCCTGTGCAGTGGATGGCAACTGGAGCCCATGGAGCAAGTGGTCAGCCTGCGGACTGGACTGCACACACTGGCGGAGCCGAGAGTGTGCTGACCCCGTGCCCCGAAATGGAGGCGAGGAGTGCCCAGGTGCTGACCTGGACACCCGCAACTGTACCAGTGACCTGTGTGTGCACAGTGAGTCCTCCCGCCCCTTGAGGCCTGTCCACCTTGAACAGTGTGGCCCTTGCCCCTGGGGCCCCCAAACTCTACCCCATTCTGGACAAATCGTAGCTACAGGTCATTCCCTGGCCAAGGCTGCATCTCCCTTTCAAACCACAAGGCCCTCAGGGACCCCTTCATCCCTGAGACACCCACATAGATGCCCATACACATGCCCTGATACTTCCTGCTGCCCACCCACCTCTCCTGAGAAATGCCTACAATGGAGCCCTGACTCATACACCCCCATCTGCACACATGTACTCAACATCCCCCCCAGCCTGCACCTTCATCCCCACCACCCCCAAAACACCAAAAAGTTCTTTGGGGGTGAACAGGCATGTGGGGCCTGTTAATTACAAGGCCATCACTAACAATTAAAGATCTCAGTTGGACTTTTTCCTCTAGAACACACCCTCCCCCATTCTTTCAATTAAAAACCTAATTATCTGTGTCAATTCCTTTCTGATGGACATTTCTTCCTTTATGCAAAACTCGTCTAAAAATCAATATCACTCCCTCTGAGCAGTCAATCACCTCCTCCCCTCCCTGCCCAGGACCTGGGACAGGGGACAAGAAGAAGGACCGCCACTGCCCCCACCCCACCCCACCCCCACACACACACCTGCTCCTGGCCCTGTGACCTACCAGGCAGCAGACAGATGGGACTGCCCAAGAGGGGGTGACGAGTTGGTGACCTGGAGAAGGAGCTCCCCACCTCTCCTGGAGCCAACCTCAACCTGGACCCCAAGCCCTCGCGAGGCTGTGGTCTGCTCAGAAGCACACAGGAAAGAGGGCAGGAGCAGCCAAAGACCTGGCTCTATGTATTCTCCCGCCGTGCCCCAAGTCACCTTATCTAGCCAGTGTCCCTTGCCCAGAGATGGCTTACTCCCCAGAAGTGTTGACCCCTCCCTCCATGGGTGCAGACCCTTCCTTCCCAACTTCCTTCAGCTGGGCAGTGAGCCCTGCGACCCACCCCTCCCGTGGGCTCCTGTCTCCTGCAGCTGCCTCCGGCCCCGAGGACGTGGCCCTCTATGTGGGCCTCATCGCGGTGGCCGTGTGCCTGGTGCTGCTGCTGCTGGTCCTCATCCTGGTGTACTGCCGCAAGAAGGAGGGGCTGGACTCCGACGTGGCCGACTCATCCATCCTCACCTCGGGCTTCCAGCCCGTTAGCATCAAGCCCAGCAAAGCAGGTGCGGCCCGTCCGCCCCCGGCACCCCCTCAGCAGGCTCCCAGCCAGGGACCGTGCCAGGAGGGGAGGTGTTCAGGGCTCCTCCCCTGACTGTGTCCTGGTGTTGCAGACAACCCCCATCTGCTCACCATCCAGCCTGACCTCAGCACCACCACCACCACCTACCAAGGCAGCCTGTGTCCACGGCAGGACGGGCCTAGCCCCAAGTTCCAGCTCTCCAATGGGCACCTACTCAGCCCTCTGGGCGGGGGCCGCCACACACTGCGCCACAGCTCACCCACCTCGGACGCTGAGGACTTTGTCTCACGCCTCTCCACCCAGAACTACTTCCGCTCCCTGCCCCGCGGCACCAGCAACATGGCCTACGGGACCTTCAACTTCCTCGGGGGCCGGCTGATGATTCCCAATACAGGTAGGAGAGCTCCAGAGGGCCTCTACCTCCCAGCCCCAAGTCCTCCACACCCCTCAGGCTCCTCGTCACCCCAGGAGCTGAGCCAAGGCCAAGATCAGCAAAAGAAGGGGTGGGGTTAGAACTGGGGAGTGGCTGACATGGTGCTGGCCCCTTTTGTGGCCTGTGGGGCAAGAAGCACCGTCCACTGGTATACTGACAATCAGTCTTTGTACTGGCTCTGTGCTGGACTCTGGGGCACACGTACTCCCAGAAGGCTGGCAGGGACCAGGTACGGGTGTCTGTGGGGGTGTTCTTTCCACAAGCACGTGGAAACTGTGCCCAAGTGCTCAAGATACTGTGTGGGTGAATCCACAACCCAGCGAGGGCTCATCTGGAACGTTCGCCCCTCCTCCCCCGGCCCCCCCGCACCGCTTGTGCGGCTGGTCACTCCTGCCCTGAAAGTCTCCAGCCCCTCAGATTCCGTGGCCTTTCCAAATGCTCCTGGTACCTGCTCCCTAAATGCAGGCATTCCGCAGAGCTTCCCTCCTGGCACCCACCTTCCCAGCAACCTCCCCAGCACAAAGGGCTTAACCCCCCTGCTCCTCCATGCCTGCTGGACAACTCCATCTGCCCCCCTCACATCTCAATTCCTCCTACCTAAAACAAAACTGTCTCCCACGCTTCCCCGGAACATGTTCCCCAGGGAGTTCCAGCTCAGCCCTACTCAGTCTAGTTGCTCAGGCCAGAAACTCAGGGTCACCTTGACCCCCTGCTCCTCCTCAGTTGCCCACTTGCCCCTTGCACTGGCTTCAGTCAGATGCCAAGCTCCGTCCTCCTTTCTCGTCAACAGCCCCTGCCACGATGCTACTCCCTCCCTCCCTCAGCTCACCCTCCCTACCTCCAGCCCAGTCCACATCCCTCCCAATGTCCAGGTCATGGGAGCTAGAGCTGGCGATGCCCCTCTCCTGCCCAAGTCAGCCCCAGGGCCTGTCCCCTCCACTGCTGCAGCCTCTTCCTCAGATGCATGAACTGTTATTTTAAAATAATTTTTTAAAGCCCTGTTAGGTTTATAGAGAAGGCACACAGAAAGGACAGCTACTCCTTCCCCCTCACACCCACGTAATACCATTCTCTCCTTGCGTCCCCAGGCACACCTGGGAAGCTGAGGGACCGGTATTATTCGCTAAAGGTCCTAGTTCACATTAGGGGTCCTCAGCGTGTTGTACAGGCTCGTGAGCTTTGACAAAAGCAGCACATCCCATGTTTGCTGGGACAGTTATCCTTCGGAACTGGTCACTGCCCTACAAAGGCCCTGTGCTCCACCTGTTCTCCCCCACCCCACCCACCCCCCACCACCCCCAGATCTTGCTTTCTCTGTCGTTTTGCCCTCCTCTGCATACACAGCCAGGACTAGCGCAGCCCTATCACACTGTGAGCCACAGTAGGTGCACTACGTCCCCCCAGCAGTGGCTGGGAGCTCTCCAGCCACCCCCAGTGCCCTTCACTGCTGGAAGCTGGACTCTGCCCCCACTGGGCTGAGAGCTTCCTGGAATGTCATCCACTGACTTCCAGAGCATCCCCATTAGTATTCCCAGGTTGCCCCGCCACTCCCCCCCATAACTTGGGCACAAATGTCTGGGATCAGCACCAAGTGACACTGGGACCAGGAGGCAGTGGGAGCAAACGAGGAGACTGTGGATCGGTAGTTGCTTCTCCTGGCTGTTTCCCAGCACCTCAGGGTGTTCCAACCCCACCCTCCTGCAGGGATTTCTGTTCGGGTGCTGTGGGGCTGGGAGGAGTACAGCCATAGGATGTCTCTCTTCCCAAATCCTGAGCTTCCCCCGCAGGCCGTTCCTGACATGGGTGATCCCTCTCTGTGTTGGCTTCCCAGGGCTGCCCTCCCAGAGGACCACACAGCAGGGGCTTCTGGGAACAGGGTTGCCTATATCCTGGCTGTGGAGCTGAAGTGGGAGTGCAGGGAGTCAGCCGGCTGGGCCCTCTCTGAAGGCACCAGGATGCACTTGTCCAGCCTCTGCTTATGGTCTTGGGAGCTCTTGGGGGCTTCCATCTGCTGCCTGACTCCATCTCTCTCGGCGCCCATCTTACGCGGCGTTTTCCCTCCCATCTTCCCTGGGTCTCCATATCTCTTCTCCTTGTGGGTCAGTACACCAGTCATGTGGGCTCAGGACTGACCCTACTCCAGAGTGGCCTCACGTTCATTTAATGGATAGCATTCAGAGGTGTTCTTTCCAAACAAAGCCGTCACAGGCACACGGGGCTGGGGCTTCAGCAATATCTTTCTGGGAGATGCATATCATTGTCCTAAAAGGGGAAGGCAGTCGGGGGCAGGACCACCCCCGGGATAGCACCCTAGCCCCGTCCTTCCTGCGTCTGACTCACTGCCTGTTGCCTGGAATAGCTCCTCCTGAGTGCATGCGTGCTGATGTGGCTCTGCACCCGGCTGAGAGAGGAACCTGCGTGAAGCAGGGGACCCGAAACGGCTCCCAGGCTAGGGAGGGCTCCCCAACGGAAAAGTGCTGTCCCCGCCCATCCTCACTGCGGGGAACTGGCTGCCCAGTGCCTGGCGGGAGACAGAGCCTCACAGTGTCAGGGAGCTCCCAGAGGTGGCTGCCCACAGGGAAGAGGCCCCCCAGCAGGGAGACCCTGGTCTGGAATGACCACGAAGTCAATATGGGCCACAGGGGGAGGCAGCTGAGGCCTGACAGATTGGCCTTACATGCCAGGCCAGAGAACTAAGCAGGTCACACCCAGGGAACTTCTGGGTGACATCAGAGGTGGGTACAGCACACATGGTACCCCTCCTACCAGAATTTTTTGAAGCTTCAGCTAACTAGGTGTGCTCAGCCATTCTCAGGGTCCCTGTGACCCAGCACCATGCCTGCCAGTGGGAGCTGTTCCATCCATGTGGGCAGGTTGAGGCTCCTGTCCCCAGGGCAGGCTGGCATGGACGACCCTCCCCATGAGTGGGTGGAGGAGCCCTACCTCTGCAGCAGGTAAGCTCTGGTGGTCCCATCTTGTTGCAGGGATCAGCCTCCTCATCCCCCCAGATGCCATACCCCGCGGGAAGATCTACGAGATCTACCTCACGCTGCACAAGCCCGAGGATGTGAGGTGTGGGCACGGGCTGTGCTGCTCGGGGTGGGAGGTGGGGGGTTCCTGGGGTCCTGCCTTTTTTTTTTTTTTTACCTTCTTCCCTTCCATCACCATCACGCCCCCTCCCACCACTGCTGCTGCCTGGCCTGGCCTCAAGGAGGTGGGGGAAAGAGGTCCACCTCAGACCCACCCAGCCTGCTCCTGCCACGGCCCACTGACGCCTCTCCCTTCCGGCCCCCGTTTCCCCACTTGAGGTTGCCCCTAGCCGGCTGTCAGACCCTGCTGAGTCCCATCGTTAGCTGCGGCCCCCCCGGAGTCCTGCTCACTCGGCCTGTCATCCTGGCCATGGACCACTGCGGGGAGCCCAGCCCAGAGAGCTGGAGCCTGCGCCTCAAAAAGCAGTCATGCGAGGGCAGCTGGGAGGTGAGCCAAAGGGAGTCCCCAAGTTCGCCCGCCATCCCCAGCACTGGTCTCCAGGTAGAGAGGCCCCGTGCCTGTGGCTGGGGCTCTCCGCCACTTGGCGTGGTGGTCTGGGGTGGGGGATAGGGTGGGGGTGGCCGGCGCGCTGACTACCAGGGCCACCGGCAGGACGTGCTGCACCTGGGCGAGGAGGCGCCCTTGCACCTCTACTACTGCCAACTGGAGGCCGGGGCCTGCTACGTCTTCACTGAGCAGCTGGGCCGCTTCGCCCTGGTGGGAGAAGCCCTCAGCGTGGCCGCAGCCAAGCGCCTCAGACTACTCCTGTTCGCGCCCATGGCGTGCACTTCTCTCGAGTACAACATCCGGGTCTATTGCCTGAATGACACCCATGAGGCCCTCAAGGTACTGCTACCACTCTGGCCCTGCCACTGGAGGCCTTGTGGGCCACCCCAGGTGCCTGGGCAGGGGCCTTCTTGCAAAGGTGGGTGAAAGGTGCAGGGCCCCCTGGGGCCACGCTGACCAGCCTGGGCTCTGCAGGAGGTGGTACAGCTGGAAAAGCAGATGGGCGGCCAGCTGATCCAGGAGCCCCGGGTCCTGCACTTTAAGGACAGCTACCACAGCCTGCGCCTGTCCATCCACGACGTGCCCAGTTCCCTGTGGAAGAGCAAGCTGCTCGTCAGCTATCAGGTAAGGGCCAAGCCTGCAAGCCAGCCCTCAGGCTGCCTGGCAGTACACCTGACAAGGGATCCCCACCCTTTCTGGCCTGCCCTGCAGGAGATCCCCTTTTACCACATCTGGAATGGCACACAGCAGTACCTGCACTGCACCTTCACCTTGGAGCGCGTCAGCCCCAGCACCAGTGACTTGGCTTGCAAGGTGTGGGTGTGGCAGGTAGAGGGCGATGGGCAGAGCTTCAACATCAACTTCAACATCACCAAGGTGAGCAGGAGGTTGTGGGGGGGAGGGGGCTTCACACCACCCCAGGATGCTGCACATTGAGGGCCTGCCCTGCCTATCTCTGCTCCCAGGACACCCTCTCCAGGGGAGCCCTGGGAAGCTACTCCGATGCAAGTACAAACAGATGAGGTCAGGCTCAGAAGGGCAGTTGGACAGGACAGGGAACTCGGAGTGAGGGAGCAGGAGACAGCACCTGCCCAGGGCCAAGAGGATGAGCAGGAGTGTGGCAGGCCAGTCAGGTTGCCAGGGGCAGGCAAGAGGGGTGGCTACTGTTGTGTGACTTTGGGCAGGCCGCTGCTCCTCTGAGTTCCAGGGAGCCAGGGGTACCTGGGCCACCTCAGGGCTCCGGAAGTGCTCTTGTCAGGGATGCCCGACCGGAAGTATAGTTCCAACAGGCCCTCCCCGCTTCCTCCCCCAGGACACAAGGTTTGCTGAGCTGCTGGCTCTGGAGAGTGAAGGGGGGGTCCCAGCCCTGGTGGGCCCCAGTGCCTTCAAGATCCCCTTCCTCATTCGGCAGAAGATCATTAGCAGCCTAGACCCACCCTGCAGCCGGGGTGCAGACTGGCGCACTCTGGCCCAGAAACTCCACCTGGACAGGTGGGTGGGGTTTGTCAGGTTAAGGCATGGGCTGCAAGGGCAGGCTGCAGTCCAGCTGGAGGGGGATAGGAGGAGACGCCTCCTGCCCAGACCCTGTGGGTCCTGAGCCATGTCCACCTGCAGCCCCTTGTGCTTGGCAGAGAGAAGTCCTGGCCTGACTAGTCATGTGGGCTCAGGACTGACCCTACTCCAGAGTGGCCTCACGTTCATTTAATGGATAGCATTCAGAGGTGTTCTTTCCAAACAAAGCCGTCA